AGACTGGAAGAGTTGAGACTAGAAGAGTTGAGACTGGAAAGGGTTGAGACTAGAAGAGTTGAGACTGGAAGAGTTGAGACTAGAGGGGTTTAATCGAAAGTTTCGCTGAAATTTAAAGGAGTTGTAAAATGGCTAATTTTTAGAACTAAACAAGTTAAACATGATATGTTAGACAGCGAAACTATTTATTCTGTCAAAACTTTAATTCTAATTTAATCAGAATTAATAACGCGACATTTTCAAAATTGAATAGAAAATATAACGACAAATTTATCTTTATGACACGCGGGGCGGAGAGATCTTAAAAGAAAATGAAAATTAAAAGTTATGATTTAAAATTTTTTTTCTTTTCTAAAATTTTCTTAAATCCACTTAATTAAAAAGTAATGTGTTGAACCCACACAGTGATTTAAAGAAATCGGGATTTCATTAGAACGTTTTTATTCTAGTAAAAGTACAGGGCAAACCACAAAATATGAGATTTTAATGACGACCTGAAGATTTTAAAAATACATAGAATTTAGTCATTTGTCGTTAATAAATTTAGCAAAAATATAAAATTGATAAACAACTGCAAGAAAATATATAAATTTTAGAAAAAATACTGAATAAATTTCGCCTAATCGTCTTTGTTATCTCATCTTAAAAAAGCTGTCGTGTCGGCAATGTCAAACCAACATTAACTTTGACGGATAAATCAAATTGAATGAGGGAAAACTGAGTAACTATAATTATACTGAAATACAAACAGCTAGCTGCAATGTCTTATAACCACTATAGTTTCAGTAGAAGTAAATATTTCCATTTACTGTTATAGCGACGATATCTCTAATTGGACAATAGCTAGATAGAAAGATAGATGTTACCGCCATACAATTTCTTTTGGTTCAGAATACGCACCAAACACTTGGCTGAACCCTGATTGGATCAGGCGCCAATGGACTCTGCATACTAGAGTATTAACCATTTGTTCATTCATGACGTATTTTGACGTTTTCATAAAAAAACATGCAGAAGAAAAAACAGATTAAAATTTGTAAGGCCTTAGAGGCCGTATTAAACGAAAGGGAAGAAGCAGTTGAACAATTTCCATTGTGGGGTCGAGAGAGCAATATATAAGTAGTTCAACTATCCGTACTTAGTTCAATTACTCCTCCGTATTCATTAAATCCAACCTCCGGTCTCAATTGTGGCGTAAAAAGGACATTGAAGTATGGTTCATATCTTTGTTATTTACCATTGTAACTAGAATAGTCTATTTTTATCCCTATAGGGTTCGGTACTTTCTGAAATCTCAATTAATGATTAATTTATATATTCGGAAGCACTGGTACACTGTAAGTAGTGTACCAGTGCTTCTGAAACAATGGAGAAATTATCCAAATTAAACACATTTCAAGCTAAAATAACGACGCGCTCTTCCAAAATAAGGTTCTAATGGTATCATTGTGAATTGAACAAGCTCCCCTTTTATTTACTTTTTAAATGGAGGGTTACATAAAACTACAACAGTCACTTTTAACAAACCATCAGGAGATGAAAGAAAATACGACAATTTAATCTTTAATTAATAATTCTTTCTTTATTTTGGAAGAATATTACATTGAACGTAGTTAAACCATTCAATACAGATCAAATATTCATCATTTTTTATAAATAATTAAACTGTTGGAACCTTGAACACACAATCCTTTAAATCTGGATTATTCTAACTTTTTAATCCCAATATTTAATCCTAATCTTTTGATCCCACATGTTTACATACTTTTTAACTCCAAATTTCCCAAACCTGTTAAATACTAAATATTCACAAATAGTTTAATCCCAAAAGTTTACTCCTAACTTTTCAATCCCAAATTTTCCTTTACTTTTCAATCCCATATATGTTTTCAAACTTTAAATCCCAAATGTTGCAAAAGTTTTTCTCTTAAACTTTCTCAAAATTTCACATTCCAAAATCTCCCAAACTGTTCTCAAACTTGTAAACCCCAAAGCTTCCCAAATCTTAAATCTCAAATGTAAAATGTTTGTTAAATTACGTCTACGTTGTCCCTTTAAGCCATTAGTTTTGGTTTGAAACCTATTCTTTCACACATTTTTTTAAGAAATTGAATTGATCTGACTCTGTCCTGTCTTAAAAGGAGTGCAGTGCAGGGGTAACTTCACGTGACGTGTATTTATAGAGGGGGAGTCCGATTCAAAACGATACCCTTACAAGCTTATATGATCAAGTTATATATCATCTCCTCTTTGAGAGCAGGTAGCACATTTCTGCTGTAGGAACAAGCAAGAAAAAGGACTATATCTTCCAAATTATTGATCAGGAAAGTGTACGGTTGTAAATTGGACATTTTAAATGAAGTGCCATGAAATAAAAATTTTCGCAAATATTCAGATTTTTTGTTAAAATTAGGTTCTTTAAATAATTTATGTCCCAATTTATATTAAGTGCTCATTTTTTGTTTGTTTTTCTTCCACTATATTTTTCTGAAAATAAACCCCACTGTACGGGAGGGGTGGGGGGATTGACTAATTATTTGTTGTGTAGATTTAATTGTGTTTGAGAGAAAAAAAAACTTTTTAAAGATCACACATTTTTGTTTCTTATTGGTAAAAATAAAGATAAACCACATCGATAGCTTGTCGAAAATACAAAATATAAATAAATCTTTTTAAACTCAATAAATGTATGATGATATTTTTTCTATTGCTGACTGTAGTAGGTTAGGATTGATTGATGACCACTAATCGGGGATTTCTTGAAGGTTTACGGTAAAGGAGGAGTAAAAGTATGGAGTGTGATTTTATGTTGTTCGAAAATTTTCAATCAAGGGTTTTAGAGAAAAAATATGATTCTCTGGCTTGTTGTTCAGAAACAAATGTAATTATGCAGTTGCTAAACGATTCACAAACAATGAACTTATCCGGTTCCATGATTAGAAAATCAAAATATTTTTGTTCATCTCAATAGCATTTCATTGATTTCTTTGTAATGAATGCAATCTTGAAATTGTAAATGGGTTTTGCTGGTTCAATAAACGAATTTTTACAACTACCGGGTGTACCCCAACGGATAAGACTGTAAAGACAACTAAATATAACAATCCTTTAAGTTTGAATTAAGACTTCTGTCTGGAAGGTGGTCTTTAGTGTATTGTTATATATACAGAGTCCGAATTTATAGAATTTAAGTCGCGGCTTAAATCCACCAAAACTCGGTTTAAATTGAGCGCCGGCTTAAATCTTGAAACATTTGATACAATTTTAAGTGAAACCAACCATAATTAAGCCGCGGCTTAAATTTAAACCGCGGCTCAAATTCTTTAAATTCGGCCTCAGGATTACCAACAGTCGAGACTTTGTTGGTAACCCTGTATAAAAAATACCGTTCATTTTAATTTAATTGCAAATACTCATTTTTTTAAAAACAAAATTGTTCTTAAAACTGAATCTTGAACCAATGGAAGGGGACAGCTAGCTCTAGAATTGCAAGCTAACATTAATTAAAAAAGAAAGAAATCGATCCGAGGAACGTCAAAAGAGTACCTATAGTATGTAGGATACATCACAGTATGAGAGTAAACACACTCTATCAATCTCTCTTTAGTTCAAATGGATTGGATCCAGACTGTTATAAAACGTTTCATAAATTTGTAAGGTCGAATTAAAAGTGTTATAACGTCTACAGCCTTTGCTTTAACCTTACTAACTCACTAACTTTTTTGTAGACCTAGAAACTTTATTATTATTACTGTACTAAGTTTAGTTTAATTTAAAAGAAGTAACATTCAGGGGCGGATACAGGGGGGGGCGGGGGGCATTCGCCCCCCCCCCCTGAATTTGGAATTTTTTGTTCCTATTTTCAGAATAGCTTCTCAATAGCATGCTTAAGGGAAAGAAACCCTAGTGCAAAACAGGAAAAATATCTGTCTTAATAAACTATAATGTGTGGAAAGTTAAAAATCTAGTTTTTTAGTCTTTAGTCATTAATTTTGACTCTTTTTGAGTCTTTTAAGTCAAAATAAATTTCACCTGCGGCGCGATTTTTTGTTCCTAATTATGAATTTTTTGTTCCTAAAAAATCTTGCCCCCCCCCCCTCACTTAAATCCTGTATCCACCCCTGGTAACATTTCAAATTTCTAAAAAAAAATATACTTTGTGACGTTAACCTATAAGCAAATAAAAATACTTTCCACAATGAATTAAAACTTTATTTGATTGAACTTATAATAAGTTAGAATCATGCGGGTTTTATGTAGATTGTATAAACACTCCATATTATAGATACAGGCAAATGATGGAAAATTCTCGTAAATTATTTAAATAATCCTTTGTATTCAAGCATTTATGGATCTATCAATATTGATATTTTTGCCACCAAAATAATTCTCAAAACTAATTTATATTATCCAAGATAATATCTATAATTAATCATATACTATATTTTTTTTAATCATTTAAGAAAGAATTGTGTCATAAATTCATAGAAAACACAATGAATATAGTTAATTCAATTCTGAGCGGTGCACAAGAATAGCTCAACTTTAGGATTACCCACGAAAAATGGGAGTTTAATGACGACCTAAAACTTATGAAAAATGAAAGTTTAATGACGACCTAAAACTTATGAAAAATGAAAGTTTAATGACGACCTAAAACTTATGAAAAATGAAAGTTTAATGACGACCTAAAACTTATGAAAAATAACGTATCTTGATATGATGTCATTTTTTCATTAATATAGCCTTGAAATGATCTATTTAATAAAGATAAAAATAAAGAAGAAAGTTGCATGGAACCATAGAAAAAGATAAAGGTCTCCCCCCCCCAGCCTGTGATGTTTTGTCTTTTGTCCTATCTGCGAAATCTGTGATAAAATTTTAAACGACTTAAAAAATGTTTGCAAAATATAGAAATTTTTTTTTCACTCATTGCAGTTTAATTTTTAATTTTTCAGATGAAAGATCAATGAGTAAGATTGTGAAATATTTGTCCGTAGATCCTCGGTTCTTCAGCGAGAAAACCCTGGTTTCCGAAGTTAAAGAATCACGTTTCAGAGACACTTAAAGAAACCTAGTTTCAGAGACGCTTAAAGAAACCTAGTTTCAGAGACTCTGAAAGAAACTTTGTTTCAAAGACACATAAAGGAACAAGTTTCAGAGATACTTAAGAGAAACAAGTTTCAGAAACCTAAATAGATACAAATTCAAGCAGAAGAAAAACATTTAACATTTAACTTTTAAAACATTAAAAAAAAAGAATCCTGCTTTCGTAGAAAAAAAAGTGAATGAAGTTATAATTCATCTAAAATTAAATAATTAAAAACAAAAAAAAAACTGAAAAGCCCTGAACAGTGAACCATTAAACTAAAGGTAAGAGAAAAAATGTTTTCAGTAATTTAAACTTTTCCTCCTATCCTCATATTTTCTTTGTTTTTTTTTCGTGTCTATCCTCATTCTTTCTCCTCTTCGTCCTTTCTATCCTTATTCTCTCTCCTCTTCTTTCTACCTTTTTCACATTTTTTCTCCTTTTTTTCCTTCCTTTCTTCATTCTTTCTCCTCTTCGTCCTTTCTATCCTTATTCTCTCTCCTCTTCTTTCTACCTTTTTCACATTTTTTCTCATTTTCTTCCTTCCTTTCTTCATTCTTTCTCCTCTTCGTCCTTTCTATCCTTATTCTCTCTCCTCTTCTTTCTTACTTTCTTCATTCTTTCTCATCTTCGTCCTTTCTATCCTTATTCTCTCTCCTCTTTTTCACATTTTTTCTCCTTTTCTTCCTTCCTTTCTTCATTCTTTCTCCTCTTCGTCCTTTCTATCCTTATTCTCTCTCCTCTTCTTTCTTACTTTCTTCATTCTTTCTCATCTTCGTCCTTTCTATCCTTATTCTCTCTCCTCTTCTTTCTTCCTTTCCACATTTTTTCTCTTTTTCTTCCTTACTTTTACTTTTTTATTTCTTTATTCTTAATTGCTTTCCCTTTCTCCAATCCCATCTTTACTTTCTTCCATCGTTAATATTTGTTCTCCTTTATCTCTCGTCTATTTTTATTCTATCTTTCTCATCTTAACAAAAAAAAATCTTCAAAATCATCCCCCCCAGGCAAATGTATACCTTTTGAACTAATCGATGTTAATTGTTGCAGAAACTGGATCGATGTGTCTGAAGCTGGGAAGTTTTTAGCGAATTGAAAACTGATAATGCAATCAACCATTCGGAAACCGTGAAACAAGGAACAGTGAACAAGGAACAGGGAACAGTGAACAAGGAACAAAGAACAGTGAACAAGGAACAGGGAACAGAGAACAAAGAACAAGAAACAAAACTTGAGGAACAAGGAACAGCAGAAATGTTTTCAAAAACAAGAATATTTCTGGTTTTTTTCTCTGTTGCAGGTAGGACAGAAACCATTGTCATAACATTTAAAAGAAAAGAAAACCAATATCCCGTCTATCCTGACTTCATCCTGTCTATCCTGTCTATCCTGTCTATCCTGTCTATCCTGTCTATCCTGACTATCCTGTCTATCCTGACTATCCAGACTTCATCCTGTCTTTACTGTCTATCCTGACTATCCTATCCTGTCTATCCTGTCTATCCTGTCTATCCTGTCTATCCTGTCTATCCTGTCTATCCTGTCTATCCTGTCTATCCTGTCTATCGCGAATAAATTTTGCTTCTCAGCTCAAACTTTTGACAGGGGATATCTTTAGTTTTAGAAAGAAAAAGTTATGTTAGAATTAGCAAGGGGACAATTGTAGAGTTAGAAAGAGCAAAAAAGGGACAAAAATATGAATGATGGAATCACATGTTAATATTACCCCAGTTTAATCCCGCTTTCTTTGAAGGTATTCTCTTCCACTTTCTTACTTTCTTGGAGATATTCTTTTCCACTTTCCCGCTTGTCTGGGAGATATTCTCTTTAACTTTACCACTTTCTTTGGATGTATACCCATTCCCCTTTCACTTTCCAACTTTCTTTGGAAGTATCCCCTTCCACTTTCTCGCTTTCCTTAGATTTATTCCCTTTCACATTCCCACTTTCCTTGGAAGTATTCCCTTCCACTTTCCCACTTTCCTTAGAAGTATTCCCTTCCACTTTCCCACTTTCCTTGGAAGTATTCCCTTCCACTTTCCCACTTTCCTTGGAAGTATTCCCTTCCACTTTCCCACTTTCCTTGGAAGTATTCCCTTCCACTTTCCAACTTTCCTTGGAAGTATTCCTTTCCACTTTCTTATATTCTTGGAGATAATTTTTTTCCACTTTCCCACTTTCCTTGGAGTTCTTTCCTTCCACTTGCCCACTTTCCTTGACTATATTTTCTTGCACTTTCCTTAAAGGTATTCTCTTCTACTTCCTTTCCATTTTCCTATGTTCCATGGAGAATGGAGGTATTCCTTTTAACTCCCCCATATTTCGTTTATAGGATAGAATTGCATAAAATCAACATTAAATTAATTTTCCTGCAACAACTTTATTGAAGAGCGCTTATAATGTGAAAAGTTTCTAATCGCTACCTTTGGCAATACCGCTAATGGACAAACTTTTGATATCTTCGTGGGTTTAAACCTACTTTTAGAACACCAGGAACAGTAAATATCATGGCATTGATTTTACATTTCAAATTCCGGGCGATCCGCGCCCCACTCTATATTTATTTTCTTACAAGAGATCACATTTAAAAATAAAGTTCTCACTATTTATAGGTTATCGATTGCCGATACAAACAAAAAATTGCAGCAGTCATAAAATATATAAAACTTCTTGATGTTTCCGCTTGAACAAAAATACAACACATGAATCGGAAAAAAATTAGATTTATTTCCACATATTTATAACCAATATCTAGTATAAATTTTTACAATAGATGTTCAAAATAAGCTTGAAATGGCCAACTCTAGTTTTTATAAAAATTCAAAATTGTATGAATTGGATCTGTCTGGTTTACTGTTTCTGGTAAATTGGCCGGGTACTTACACACTTTCTGGTGGATTTATCTGACACTATTACGGTTTCTGGTGGAATTGCCTGGTACTCTCACGGTTTCTGGTGAATTGACCTGGTACTCTCACACTGTTGGTGGATTGACCTGGCACTCTCACGGTTTCTGGTGAATGACCTGGTACTCTCACACTGTTGGTGGATTGACCTGGCACTCTCGCGGTTTCTGGTGGATTGACCTGGCACTCTCACGGTTTCTGGTGGATTGACCTGGTACTCTCACACTTTCTGGTTGATCACTGTTTTACGTTTTCTGGATAGTGCAGAAGAGAATGTTTGATATTTCGGTTATGAAGGGTTTCTTGAAAACTCTGACATAAAAAATTAACCCGATATAATCCTCATTTTATTATTATGATTTGTCTCAACCTCAAAATATCCGAACACATCCTGTAAAGGGAACTTAAGTGGGTTTAAAAGTTCTGAAGAAAAGCCTAATGGTAAATATTGGATCTTGTGATAATAGAAGCAAAACATGGAAATAACAACTAGCAGGGAGGAAGGGGGGCAGGGAGAAGTAGATTGAAAGCTTTCAAAAAATCTGCTCCAAGTAAAGGTTGATCTACATCAGCTAAATGGAAACTCCATTCAAAACGGCGATTACCAAATTGTAGAGAAATCCATCTGTCCCCCCAAGATGAGATTGATTGGCCGTTTGCAGCAGTTAACTGAAGAGAGGATGGTTTGTTGTTTGATTTATCTATCAAGAAACGGCGGTTTCTTGATAGTATCTGTTAGATAGATTAACGGAGATGTTCTTGTTTTTACACCGGCAGAAAAAGAGTTTAAGTTTATCTTCTCCCACCGGTTCGACCGTCTCCCGAACTTGATGAATAAGAACAAGGATCTGTGCAATTCCTAGCTTTCTTTCCGTATTTTTGGTGATAAAAACACCATCTAGAAGTTGAGGATGAATTACAATTTTCGTAACGGGATCTCTCAGAGTATTCTTTTTTCTTTGATGGAGGATTTACAGTGTTACATGCTAATTTTTCAGTAGAAAGGTTGATGTCGTCCTTGGATATCTGATGAATAGTTTGTGAATGATGTGATGACAAAACTAGGTCAGCTTGTTGTGCTAAAGCTCGAGGATCCTCATAGGTGTGGAGATATCCACGAACATTTGCTGGCATTCTTCTTAAAAATTCGTTTAAAAACAGAGGAGACATTGTATGTTCAGTAGGAAACAGAGCCAACATTGAATCCATAAGATCAGATGGTTTACGATCTCCAATATCAGGCATAGAGCGTATCATTTCAGCTTTCTCAAGATCAGTATGGGTATATTTCTTCAAAAGACGGAGTTTCAGAGCAGTGTATGGGTTTTTATCAGGGACATGTTCAAAGAAATCTGTCAGAGTAATAGCTACATCATTCTGAAGAGCTGCTAGAAGGTGATGATATTTAGTGATCTCTGCAATAATATTCCTGATTGCACTTTGCAATTTCATGGATACAGCATTTGTTTCAGCCATCTTTATTACTTCGGGGTCACCACTGTAGAGGAAGAACAAGTATACATATGTGGTTTATTCTAAATAGGTAAATAAATATATATTAATATCCAAGAGTACATGTTCTCGTGTTTGAGGAAGGAGACTGACTGGTTCCTAAATTCCAGTTTTCCTGTTCCCGGATTTTTTTTTTTATAATTCTCGAGCATTCTTAACTTTCACTAAGACTCGAATTATTGCTGCTACATAAGTCCCCTTCAAGTCTCTAGATCCATTGGAGGTTGAGACTGATATGATTTGAAAAGTCATTGGAAATAAGTTGCTTTGGAAGGCTGTTCCATAGGACGAAGTTCATCTGGGTTGCTTGTTCAGCTACTCAATTCTTCTTTCTTTTTAATTGAACTTTAAACTGTACTTATTACGATTTACTAGGTTTCCTTTAAAACACTGGTTGTGTAAAGCTTGTCGTTTTTCAATAAACATTGCTGTAGAAATCCACCAGTCACGCCTCCAAAATCTGTAGTCACAAACAGTTAGATTTTAAATCTAAAAAAAAACAAAAAAAAAATTTCGAAATGGTTTATCGGGTCTGAAGAAACAGTCCCTTTAATATATCTATTTATTGCATTCTCCATCAAAATTATAATATAATAAAAGCCCTGTTTATAAACCTTGTGCTGCAACCTAATGAGAAAGTTGAATGGATAAAAAGGTAAATGATTAGAAAAGAAAGTTATGAAAGATTATCCTTTAGTAACGTATAATCTAAATTGGTTTTGGAGCCGGCTCTGTTTTCATATCCAACAAACTTTATTATTCATCTTTAAACTTATAGAAATAATTTTACAGTATCACGGTTCGAATATGCAGATGCCAAGAAAATTATCCCACTCAATCCAATTTGTGGAATTTAGAGGCAAAAGTGATTTAAGAATTGAGTTCTTGCCACAACCTCAAAATTCCTATATCTTTGCAACCTGATGGTGTAAACCTTTGATATTTCAACCTTAGATATTTGATCTAACAGAATTCATCTACCAGGCTACATCGGCGGGAGGTCCGCGTCAACATTATATCCTGTGTAGCTTATCTTTGATTTGAGGCGAGGGTTCACTTCAGTTTAAAAGTTTGTTTCGACATGACCATGATTTGTGGCGTCATGGAGAAAAAAACAATATTTTTTTAATACAAAATTTTCTTGAAAGACTTATGGGAGGGGTTACGCTGTCAAGCTCCATTAAGCACATATATCTATTGAAAAACTTTCTACTCGGAGTTCAGAGTTTAATAATCAAGCAGAAATTAAGTTTGATTTTCAGACTTAAGTTGAGTTAATGATAAAAGTTTATATTTCGGTCTGCAGGAGTGCTGGATATACAATACATATATATTTTTCTTAATCTATTGTAGTTGGCTAATAGGCTTATACTAAGGTTCTTTTTTTCCCTTTCTTATTGAACGTTTTTGTTAAACACAGGGTTAAATACAAAGAATGAGACTTCAGCGACGACTGTAAGGAATTCATGTAGTCGTTTATTGGTTCCTCAAGGGAACAAAACTATAGTTTCTTTCTTTGTTAAATCATTTAAGAGCTAGCAAATTACTATTTCCAAGACAGGAGATCAAATTTAAACTTAGATCATGATGTTTAAAGAGTTTTGGGTCGTCATTAAAATAGTATCATTTGTCGTAAACCCTGTATAGGGTTAGGTAGGCTAACTTTGGAACTATTTATAACACTGTTATTTTGGTTCGCAGTGTTATAAAGTTTTTGGACAGAAATTTTCTCGTTATCGAGAAGGTTCAAGCCTTTTTAGATTTTTAGACAAAATATAATCTAAAAAGATGAGAGCCTTTGAGATATAGAGAAAATTAAAGTCCAAAAACTGTATAGCACGTCGTGCCAAAATAATAGTGTTATAGATAATTTTATGAAACG